CTAAATACCTCCATCTAAACTTTTTACAGTTAGATCAATGGCAAGCTGTGCGGTTTTGGTTGGTCAGACTCCAGCAGTTACCCCATCGCACACTCTGGGGTCCCCAAGCTTTGGCATTTGCCATCCTACGCATAATACTCTCCGGAATTAGGTCAGTAGGATGTGTCCCTCCAGGGAGAGAGTTTGCATTCAATTCCAGCAATCTGTCTCTGGGGATTTCCATGTGTAGGTGGGAGGCATGGAAATCTCAGCTTGGTTTGGATAGTCTTAACCATGGTGATGGGTTTTTGCGTGTGTCAGACACCCGGCTGACCAACAAAAATCCTCTCCTCCCCCTCTCCTGATTGTGAGTTTGCTTCTGCATCACCTCGTGACTGGTAAAGAGATGCCAGGACATACTATTCTGTGATTATTTCTGGAGTGAAGCAAAGCTTCCGTCCAATTAACCTTGTCCTTGAGTGGGGCTCTGCAATGGGCTGGTGTAAATGACGTATAGGACTTACCCAGACGCTTTCTGACGATCAGAAGTTAATAGTAGTGTGTATCCCTCATACTCAAGGATTACTGGTGCCAACAATAAAGGGAGCATAAGGTTCCTGGTAGATAGATACGTCGATGATTAGCAAACAGAAGTTAGCGGTTGCCTGGCAGGCTATTTACTGCTGGGTTTACTGAACCCAGACAGTCTGCATAATGTGATTTTTAAAAAAAATTCCAGTTTATATCTTGTCATGATGATCGAGTTGAGCTGTTTATATGCAGTTAAACATGACTTCGCTGGTTCATGTCCCAAATGCAATCTTAGTAAATGTAGGTTTCTGAGTGATCAGAGCTCCATCACTGGCTTCTCGTACCATGATATGACCCCCAGGTGCCCAGCAAATCTCATTTGCTTTCACACTGCCAGTGATTTTCCTTTCCTATGAGGTGTGCAAAACGTCTGAAACTTGGGACATCCTCCCGACGTGAAAAGCGCAACAAAAAAAATAATTTGTTGTTATTAATACAATGACTGTCAAATTAAAAGCTGGTCACAACGGAATTTGTTTTGATAAAATACAACTTATTAGACACTGATGATGTTTTAAATTGGAGACTAATTAACCGGAGCCTTCGTGTCTTCGTGTCAGCAGTTTGAGCCGAATCATACAAAGACAGCACATCACACACCATTGGATCGGGTAATCTCCTCACTCTAGCTATTTACAGCTCATTAACTGGCCGCTATAATCTGATATAAATAATCTACTTCAGACGACTCCAACCTCCCCTTAGATTGCAAGCCCTGTTCAAATGTAAATGAGAAAGAAATTACATTTCCTAATAATTGCAACGTTTGAGTCACTGCATCATTTGTAATTCAAAACAATAGTTTCATTTCCTCCCCCCTGTCTCTCTGCACACTGACAACTCTTTGTGTCTTGGTAAATCAGCATACAGTTGGCGCAGAGTTCTGAACCTTTAACTGCACATCTTTTAACAGAGAAATGTTGCGGTGAAAATTGCGCCCTGTGATCTGTAACACCAATGTTAATTAATACATCGTTCAACACTGCAGTCTGTCGCTACTAAAGACTGCTCCAAGGGTTTGAAACAACCCTTCCCTTCTCCCCTCATTGCCTGCTCTGTCAGTGCTTAGGCCTGAAGCCAAACCGCACAACACAATTGGAATATTGATTACCAGGAAACTAGGTAAACTCGACCAAAGCAATCAGAGTGAAGTCTCCTGATAATCCATTGCTGAAGTTATAATTACTGTGAGGACATCATAACATTCACATGTGCACAAATAGCCATTAAAACCTTTGGGGTTATCTTCATAATAGTAATAATTTTGTGGGCAAAACGCGGTCGCCAATTGCCCACAGCAGTGTCCCGCAAGCAGTGGTGGATTGTTATCTTCAGTACTCAACGATGCTACTGGAGACCAAGAGAACAACAACAACAAGATTCCATTTATTGAGCGCCTTTCACGTCGGGAGGACGTCCCAAGGCGCTGTACAGTTGGGTCAGGACCCGAGCAGGGGGGAAATGGTCAGGGTGAGGGAGGGAAGGGAGGGAGCGAGGAGGGGGTAGAGAGTCGAGAGGGGAGCTGAAGGCTCGGTCAAAGAGAAAGGTCTTGAGACCGGCCTTGAAGGAGGAAAGGGAGGAGGCGGCGAAGGCACTGGGGTATAGAGTTCCAGAGCCTGGGGGCTGAGAGGCTGAAGGCCCGGCCACCGATGGTAGGGCGGTTGGGGCGGGGGATGTGGAGCAGACCGGAGCCGGAGGAACGGAGGGTACGGGCAGGTAGGTAAGGGGATAGTAGGTCGGAGAGGTAGGAGGGAGCGAGGCCGTGAATGGCCTTGTAGGTGAGGGTGAGGATCTTGAATTCGAAGCACCAGGGGATATCCTCCCGACATGAGAGTCGCTGTGTAAATGTCAATTTGTATTGTATGTTTGAAAATCAGGCAACCTTTGCTCGTGGCTTTTTTATGGTGCGATTCTGCTGCTGTTATTTGGCCTTGAGAAGGGGCAGAGAACTGAGAAGTCCCGATGTAGACTGAGCTTGTGGATTACACATAGTTCTGCTTCATGTTTTGAGTTTATGGGCCTGCGGTTGGAGGGGTTTACTGCGGCTTATTTCCGAGGTAAGGAGCCATGTTGTGAAGTTGTTTTGCGGTAAAAAAAGCGTGCGGGGTGGGGTGGGACTTCTGTCAACAGCGACATGCGGTTGAGCGTCTTACCCTGAAACTCTGAAACTTTCTTCCTCTACCCCTCCTCCTTGCCACTTCCTTCCCCATCTGTAGGTCGTGCCTGAAGACCTTCCTCTTTGACCGTGCCTTAGGTCACCTCCCCCTCCCCCCAGCTCGGTGTGGTGCTTCACCACCGTCGAGTGCTCTGGGGCGTTACCCTGTGTGAGGGAGCGCTAGATAAACACACGTTGTTGTTGTTGTTGATCATTAATATCTTGGGAGGCAAACCTTTTAGAGCATCAAGGTGGCTGGCAGTTTGAGGCTGGATTGGACAGAGGTGCAGAACTTACTGCGGACAGCGTGGGTTTATCGATGTATGGTGGCGGGTTCTGTCTTTCACGCTCCATCAGTGTAGACAGCTGTAGGTTATTCTATGCTATCAGGAGGAATTTATTCCTGTCATGCCCAGAAAGACAAACTCGCTGTGTGAAAGCAGTATTAGTAATGCCATTCAACAAAACATGTTAATGTCAGCAAGTCCACTGATCAAGCAGAACAATTAATATAACCGTTCCAATTGCCAGTCAAAGGGCCACTTTTACATGAAGGACACCTCGTATTACTGTTTATTGAATGCGGTAAAAGGGCACACAGCATGAATAACCTCTCTCGGCCTTGATGTTTGTCTTGGCATGGGAGTTGTTTGCCAAGGCATGTAGAACTCATAAAAACGATGAGGTTACCCTATAAAGATAATATTGCTCTCTGTGAGGTGACAGTTTAATTACACACAATAGCACAGATTGCCCATCCCCGGCTTTAGTGAGTTGGTGGTTCGGTTGTTACAGCAAATGCAAAATGCCTCTCAGAGCTGGCATTGGAAGCTCTCCCTCCTCGCATTCATAATAATAATGTAATCTTTGCATTTATATAGCGCCCCTCACGCAGAGCGCTTGAGAATGGCGGAGAATGACGTCGAGCCGGGGGGAGGGGATGGTACCGTAGAAACGGTCCCAAATGCAGCTGAAACCCTCGTGCATGTATTTGTCACCTCTCGCTTGGATTACTCAAACGCACCCCTCGCCGGTCTCCCCAGCTCCTCCATTCAAAAGCTCCAGCTCAATCAGAACTCTGCCGCCCGCATACTGACCCGGACCACACATCTCACCAGTTCTGGCCCAGGCTCCACTGGCTCCCCATCACCGAACGGAGCGACTTCAAGATCCTCACACTCGTGTTCGAATCCCTTCACTCTCTGGTACCACCCTACTTCTCCGACCTCCTCACTCCCCAATCCACCTCCCGGCACCTCCGCTCGACTGGCTCGTCCCTCGCACCATCGTGCTTTCAGCCACTACGCCCCAAAACTCTGGAGACGCTACCCTTCGTGGAGGGCGCTACATAAGTGCAAGTTGTTGTTATCTCACAGCGCTTCACAGAATGTACTGTAAAGTGAATTGACTGTATATTTTGTGGGCGAAACACAGCAGCCAATTGCGCACAGCAGCGTCCCCACAAACACAGTTGTGGATTGAAGTGACCGAATTAGTATCATTATTATTTTTTGGAATAGATGGATGGTGACGTTAAATATTCAGATATTCAGAGTAGAAGCTTGTTCCTAACTAATCATTTGTGGCTGACAACAGAAATTGTAGAACGAACTGAGAAAACGAACTGCATTAATCAAATGAAGTGAGTGCATTAACTACATAAAATATTTAGCACTTGAATTAAATGCGATTAGAAACACTCTCATCAAAATCTTAAAGAGCTGTGCTTTTATCAAATTAAGAGAATTCATAATTTATTTAGGATAGGGATACAGATTTTATGAGGGGATGGGGGTGGGAGACAAGAGTGTGGATATAAGGAAATATAATAATAATAATCCTTGCATTTGATATAGTGCCTTATCAAGTCGTCGAGACGTCTCAAAGCGCTTCACAGAATATCTTGTAAAGTGAATCGACTGTATATTTTGTGGGCGAAACACGGCAACCAATTGCGCACAGCAGCGTCCCACAAACAGTCGTGGATTGAGTTACCAAATTTTTTTTTAAACCTTTATCATGAATGGGATGAACACTCACGTATAGAGTTTTACCCCGTGTTCATCCAGGTGGGAGTAAAGCAACCTTTGTTAAATGATAGCTGCAATTTGAGTTTACCAAATTAAGTTTCACAAACCTACAGAACAACGATGGTTTGCCTAAAAGCTCAAAAGCGTACTGTACCAAGATTACAGCAGGTTAGCTGTGCAGATGTCGATTGAATTGATAAGGAAAGAAAACACCCCCTGACGTCCACAATGACTCACGCACTTTTCAGAGTATGCATTTTATTTGACAGTGTTTCAGATAGAATATCATAAACAAGATTTCTGTAAAAGTTAATTTATCCATAGTGGTGCATTTCATAAAAATAGTTGCTCACTTACAGTCTTTGTGACTAATAATACATGGAATCATATTTATAGAGATACTGTACAAGGTAAATTCACAGCTAACACTACACAGCAATATTGATCCAAGGGCTAAGTGACTGCCATGTTCATAGATTATGTTGATTACAGGCGGCATGAAGCAATTACTGCACAAGTAAAAGCTGTGAACTGTGCAAAATATAGCTTGCTTATGCAGTCGTAATCCCAATTTTTCATCAATCTAAAATCAGAGAGTAATACAGGTACGTGCACTACAATACAGAAGCATTGTCCAAAACCTGATCCCGCCTTTCCTGGCAGGAATCAGATCACGGCTAGACCAGAGGATAAAGTGGGCAAACCCTTTGCTCGACTTCATTCACGTGAAAATCAACGTCATTGTTTTATTACTGTTACGATTAATTTTGTGCTTGATTCAATGATATGAATACAGAGGGTGGGAGGGCGGGATGGGGGCTCAGACTATTTAAATACAGGATGCCTCTTTAAATTAAATAGGTTAGCTTGTGTTACCGCTTGGTGACCAGGCTCTAGCGTTTGGTAAAAACGACTTTAACCCCTGGACTAGGCATTTGTTTTGAAAGAGGAATATTTACAATAATTCAGCTTCGTGTAAAGGTCTTCATTTATTCCCATTCCTCAGTGCAGTATTACTTAAGGCCAGGCTCTAACGACAGATGTCCCCACTGGTACAAAGTTTACTGATACAAAGTATACGACTGCAGCATACAGATGAGGCAAAATCCTTTGTACATAATATTTCACTAAAGCACCAATGTTGTTCCTGCTCTCTGATGTTAAGTTTTACCCACATAATCACACTGCACTGGTCCACAGAGTTCATATAGGTTTGGCTCACGGATGCTGTGGTCACTAGCCGCTACAGCGAGTGTTTACAACTTCAGTTTCACGGAAGTTTTAAAATGTTGCTGGTTTTTTTAAAAAAAAAGGATTTTGTGCCCCACGCAACACTTCATCGAGTATTATTCCCATTATACTGTATTTGTTAATGCAGAGCACACAGCACTTCCAGTTTATAGGGGCTGGGTGACTGTTAAAAAGAAATTAATTAAAAAAATACAACATAAATAATGTGATAGGAGGAAACAAAAGTGGCATCTATCCTATGCTGGAGAAGAAAAACGCGCTCGTTCTTTTATCTGCTCATGGTGGCAGCCCCAGACTTCAATGCACTTGGATACTTGTCGGTCCCGGGAATCTTCCATGGTCCAGGTGAGACGGTTGACTTCCGAGACACAGCGTTGATACTGTGAAAAGCAAAACCCGAATGTGCATGCTCCTCACTGGAGACCCTCCCCGGGTCTCCGTCAAGGTCATCCGTGACCTGTTCTAAGGCATTTTCGTGGAAATGACCAACATCACCAGTCTGTAAGCCAATGGATGAATCTGCTGATTTGACCTTGCGTGTGGGTGTTTCCAGCAACTTGCGCTCAGTGGTATCTGGAGCCTTACCGTTCCCTTTGACACCAGGAGGTCTCTCCCTGCTGGAGGTTGGGGACGTGGCTTTGCCAGGTTTATGCTTCTCGTTGCTCGTCTCATCAAACTTGTCCTCCCCAGATTCAGTCTCTGTAAGATATTTTCTTCCAGTTGCCCTGTTCTCAGAGATGGTCCTGCCACCCTCTGACTTCCTGCTATTTTCCTCAGATAACTTTGTAAAGCTCTTCTTAGAAGTTCGATGCTGCTTCGATTTGTCCACCTTTCTCGGGCTCTGTGACCTCTCTCTCCTCTCCCCTGATCTCCTCTCGTGGTGATCTGTAGCGTGTTCCCTTCTCAGCATCTCACTCTCCTTCCTGATGTCCCACAATGGCTCTGGGGATAGCTGGTGAATGGAATCACAGGTTGGGACTGAATGTGATGATGATGATGATGGTACCAATTCATCAGGGAGTGTGGCTATTTCCGACAGACTTGGGGAGCCTGCAGAGGAAGTATTCCAGGAGCTGGGGTCGTCTGTTAAAAAGGACAAAGTGAGAAGCGTTAGTCTGGTTAGTATTTTACTTAAGAAATGCCTTAGTTGAGAGCTGAAATATGGCTAAATTTTTATCCTATTTTATAATAATAGTCCTTGCATTGAATATAGCGCCTTATCACATCTTTGAGATGTCTCCCCTACATCCGCGCCATGACCGGCACTGTCTACTACCACCTCCGCAACATTGCCAGACTCTGCCACTGCCTCACCCCTCAGGCTGCCTCACCCTCGCCCACACATTCGTCACATCAAGGCTCGACTATGGAAACTCCCTCCTCATCGGCCTTCCCAACTCTTCCCTCCACAAGCTGCAAATCATCCAAAACTCTGCAGTTCATGTACTCTCGCGCACCAGGCTCTGTGACCCCATCACTCCCACCCTCGCCCGACTCCACTGGCTCTCCATCCTCCAGAGAATCGAATTCAAGATCCTCGTCCTCACTTTCACGGTCATCCATGGCCTTGCCCCCTCCTACCTCTCTGGCCTGCTGACTCCCTACCAACCTGCCCCCTCCCTCCGTTCAGCGGGCTCCGGCCTGCTCCATGTCTCCTGCCTGACCCGCCCTACCATCGGTGGCCGGGTTTTCAGTCTCACTGCCCCCACACTCTGGAACTCCATCCTGTGTCCCTTCACTTCGCTTCCTCCCTTGCCTCCTTCAAGGCCGGTCTCAAAACCCTCCTCTTCGATCGTGCCTTCAGTCGCCCTCCCATCTCTCTGCCTTCCCTCACCCCTACCCCACCCCTGCCCTATGCTCGGGCCCCGACACCTGACTGTCCAGCGCTTTGGGACGTCCTCCCGACGTGAAAGGCGCTCTATAAATGTCATTTTGTTGTTGTTGTTGTTGTTGTTTCAAACGCAGGAGTCAATTGCACACACCAGTGTCCCACAAACAGTCAAGGATTAAGTGATCAATTTTTTTTTTAAGGGAATATTATCCCGGAAAAGTGACCTGCCTATCGACTAACAACCAGGTTCCTACTTACTACTAGGTAAACAGAGGAGTGTGGAGTAAGGAAACTTGCCCAATGTTTCACCCTCCCGGGAATCTAACCCGGGTCCTCTCGCTTGCGAGGCGAATGTTCCAACCACTAAGCTACAGGACTCCACATTTTGCTGTATTTTGTCACTTAACTTACAACCCAACATTTCTTGACTTAAAACGCATTTTGTGTTCCCTTAATTTAAAAAAAATGCAGTTCTTTCAACTATATACGCTGCACAACATGAACCACATTTCCACGAATTGTGAGAACTAAATGAAAAAGGAATGAGCACAGATTTGGATTACATATTACAAAGCACCCATCACATCTACTATTAGTGATATGTAATCTAAGTCTTATTTCAGTTCTGAAAGTCTCAAAGTGCAAGATGATCTCTCTCTATATTTTAGTCAATAAATGGTGTAAAAATCTAAAAGGAATAATGGAATGACTTTCATGATGATAGAATTATACAGCACAGAAGGAGGCCAATTGGCCCATTGAAAAATCGAACCCATTCCCCCGCGCTCTCCACATAGCCCTGCAAACTTGTTCTCCCCAAATAATTATCTACTTCTCTCTTAAAAGCTGTTATCGAATCGGCTTCCACTACCCTTTCAGGCACTACATTCCAGATCCGAATAACTCGCTGTGTGAAAAAATTTGTCCTCACCTTCCCACTGTTACTTTTAACTATTTTAAATCAGTGTCCTCGGGTTACCAATCTACCTGCCAGTGGAAATAGTTTCCCCTTGTTCACCCTATCGAATCCCCTCATCATTTTGAAAACTTCTATTAGGTCTCCTCTTAACCTTCTCTGATCCAAGGAGAATAATCCTCGCTTCTCTCGCCTCTCCTGATAACTCAAGTCCCTCATTCCTGGTACCATCCTGGTAAATCTCCTTTGCACCCTCTCCAATGGCTTGACATCCTTCCTAAAGTGTAGTGCCCAGAACTGCACACAGTATGTAGCTGAGGCCTAACCAGTGTTTTATAAAGGTTCATCATAACTTCCTGACTTTTGTATTCTATGCCCCGTATGCTTTTTTTAATAGCTTTATCTACCTGTCCTGCCACCTTCAAAGATTTACTTATACGAACCCTCAGCTCTCTGTTCCTTCACCCCCTTTAAGATTGTACCATCAGTTTATAATTGCCTCTCCTCATTCTTCCTCCCAAAATGCACCACTTTGCATTTCTCCACATTAAACTTCATTTGCCACGTGTCTGCCCATTTTACCGGTCTGTCTATGTCCTCTTGAGGTCTGCTACTATCTGAACACTAAACAGTGAGGAGGAAAGTTATGCATAAATACGCATAATTCTTTTGCATAAATATGCATAATTCTTACAAAATATTTAATGTCACACAGCAAAGCAGCATCAAAGCTGAAACTGTCCCACAAAAGTTGTGCAATGTCAATAATTATTTGTGTTCCAGGTGATCTATTCACTCTCACCCAAAGAGAGAGGTGAGGTGAGAAACAGGGTCAGTTAGTAGCACACTTGCCTCTATATCAGAAGGATGGATGCAAGTTGAAGCCCAACATCGGGATTTTGAACACACAAGTCCAGGCTGTGACTCCAATACAGTCATTCAATAATAACAACAATTATCAAATTATATTCACATTAAATTATATAATCACCACTACAAGAGCAGCAAATTGTTTTAAAAACTTGGGCCTCTAATTTTCTCTTTTCCTGAATTTTTCGCCCACAAAATACACGGACAATTCACTTTACAGTATATTCTTTAAGACGTCTCGAAGATGTGAGAAGCCGCTCTAACAAACGCAAGGATTATTATTATGATGATTATATTACTGTCATTAGTTCAGGAGAGGTTATGATTCCTAGGTGCCAAATGCTGTCTGGTTCTTCACCCAAGCAGCCAATATCCAGCTGTGCAGGTAACTATTGTCAAGTTACAAATAAGAATATGAAGAAGCAATTAGACCAACAATCCTGCTGCTTTTTGACAGTTCCAACCTCACTTGCCTGCTCACCGTAATCCTCTATCATTTCTCTCTTAAGAAGCAACATATAATTCCCTCTGGAATCCATTTACACATTACCTGCTTCAAAGGCCTACAGGAACTTACAAAAGTATGAGTCCTGTACCTCAGTGGTTAGAGCACTCACCTCGCAAGCGAGAGACCTGGGTTAGATTCCCAGCAGGGCAAAACCATGGGCAAGTTTCCTTACTCCACACGCCTGATAATAATCCCTCAAGNAAAAAAATAATAAATTGGTCATTTCAATCCATGACTGTTTGTGGGACACTGCTGTGCGCAATTGGCTGCTGCATTTTGCCCACAAATATACAGTCAATTCACTTTACAGTATATTCTGTGAAGCGCTTTGAGACGTCTTAGAAGACGTGAAAAGCGCTATATCAAAATGCAAGGATTACGGGACGGGGAAAGACCATTCAGTCCACCAAACCTGATTTGACCTGCACACACCATGTCAAATCTACCCTTAAAGCGCTCTGGGACGCTACCCTGTGTGAAGAGTGCTATATAAATGCAAGTTGTTGTTGTTTCATGAAGTTTAACCCATCAATTTAATCTCCTGGGGGTAGTAAGCTGTGCTCTGCCTTTCTGATTCCCAAAAGTAATGAAGCAAATCCCCTGTATTATTAATTCTTCCCCAAATATCCACTGATGAAGCATTCTCTCTCCCTCTCTACCAAACAGCACCAAATCCACTGTGTTCCACAACATTTTCTTAATCTCAGTTTACACCTATGTTGCAGCTATGTTGTTCAACTACTCACTGAATGGGAAAAAATTTTTTTTTTCTGTTAGTCCTACTTGAAGATTTAAATTTTTAAACCAAAAAACTTTAGTTATGCTCTTACAAATCCAAGTCAAATATTCTTCTGTTATCTATGCCTCTCGTCACTGTAATTACCTGGATCACGTCCCCCTCAATCTTTTTTAAATTAAATGAAAACAAGTTCAGCTCTGTTTCACCTCATAACTTTGACCTCCAAATCTAATGGAGTCCTGTAGCTCAGTGGTTAGAGCACTCGCCTCGCAAGCAAGAGGTCCGGGGTTCGATTCCCAGGCATAGTGAAACGTTGGGCAAGTTTCCTTACTCCACACGCCTCTGTTCACCTAGCAGTAAGTAGGAACCCGGTTGTTAGTCGATTAGCGGATTGCTTTTCAGGGGGTAATAATCACTTCAAAAATAATAATAATAATTTGGTTACTCAATCCACGACTATTTGCGGGACATTGCTGTGCGCAATTGGCTACCGCGTTTCTCCCATAAAACATAGTCAATTTACTTTACAGTGTATTCTGTGAAGCGCTTTCAGACGTCTCAAAGATGTGAAAAGGTACTATATCAAATGCAAGGATTATTATAAACCCTGGAATTATCCTTGTTACTCTTCTGTGAACCCTCGACATCTTTTTCAAAGCCCTTTGAAGGTAGAGTGAAAAGATTCTGCATGACACAAATAACTTCCTCAGTTTAACATGACGCTGGTATGGGAGCCTTTATCGCAGTTGACAATTTGCTTAAACCTCCTGTCAGAAAGGACTGTCAATCTCCTTAAATGTGAAAACTTCCAAATTCAGTTACCTCAAAGTATCCTTTTTTCCCCCCCAGAGAACAAGGACAGCTTTCCCCACAACTCAAAAGTCCTGATTTCAGACTTGTTCTTTGCGTCTGTAGACTCTCATGGGTGTTAATATCTTTCCTGTATGTTCATGAGATCAGAGCTGCACACACGACTCTAAATGGGGTCTAATCAGCAACTTGTATAGTAATAACAAACCTTGTTCTGATCTGTACTCTGTCCCTTTGTTAATGCAGTTCAGTACCTTGTCATTCTCTTACTGCAAGGCAGATGGCTTTGAAAGATTCATTCACAATAATGCCTTGATCTTCTTTCTGATCAGCATTCTTTACAACTGTTCCATTTGACACGCACTCCTATTTTTAGTTCTCGTTCCCATACTATTTTGAAGTTATCCTT